TATTGTGAATTTTGCTGCTGTAAACATTGATGTGGCTGTGTCCCTGTAGTTTGCTCTTTTTACATCCTTTGGGTATAGACCAAGGAGAGGGTAGCTGGGTCAAATGGTGATTCCATTCTCAGTTTTCCAGTGACTTTCCATACTGCTTTCCACATTGGATGCACCAATTTACAGTTCCACCAGCAATGTATGAGTGTGCCTTTTCCCCACATCTTCGCCAACACTTACTGTTGTTTGTATTCATAATAGCTGCCATTATGACTGGAGTTAGATGAAATCTTACAGTAGTTTTGATTTGCATTTCTCTAATTGCTAGCGATGATGAACATTTTTTCATATATTTTTTGATTGATTGTATATCATGGATTAAAAAAATGTGGCAAATGTACACAATGGAATACTACTCAGCAATAAAAGAGAATAAAATCATGGTACTTGCAGGTAAATGGATGGAGTTAGAGAAGATAATGCTAAGTTAAATTAAGCCAATCCCAAAAAGCAAATGACAAATATTTCCTCTGATATAAGGAGGCTGATTCATAGGGGGGTAGGAAGGGGGAGCATGGGAGGAATAGACAAACTCTAGATAGGGCAGAGGGGTGGGAGAGAAGGGAGGGGAATGGGGTTAGAAATGATGCTGGAATGTGATGAACATTATTATCCAAAGTACATGTATGAAGACATGAATTGGTGTGAATATACTTTGTATACAACTAGAGATATAAAAAATTGTGCTCTACATGTATAATAAGAATTTTAATGTATTCTGCTATCATACATAAATAAAACAATAAAGGACAGGTATGACAATAAAAAAAGAAAGAAATTCTTTGTTTTAATTATGCTGAGCTCACAAATTTTAAAACTCAGGTAAATAGGTTATATGTTTTTTACCTATCATAGATTCCTGAAGTATGTATACAAACTGGAAAAAGTGTGTTTGATCTTGAGATTTATTCATGTACTCTCATAAATGTAAAGTTACTGTTTAAATTGTGAAGACTGGGATTGTGGCTCATTGGTAGAGTCCTCTCCTCCCATGTATGAGGCACTGACTGGGTTCGATCCTTAGCCCCACATAAATGTAAAATAAAGATATTGTGTCCACCTAAAACTATTGTAAGTAGCCATGGCTTTAATGCTGATGGTGATAAAGTATAAGATTCAGTTTTAGTAAAAATCTTGAAGTATTAAAAAGTAATTCTTGTACATTTTTCTCACATTTATGTCTCTTGTATATTTCCATTCTCTTCTCAATTTTGATTCTCTATATTATTGTTTCAATAGCAGGCTACTTGATCAGAGGACTGCATTCAGAGTGGTAAATAGGTGTCCTAAAATCAAAACGTCATTGGGCCCTGTCTCTGAACATGCTCTATAAACTAAGGTATAATATTAAAAGAACAGAAATATTCAAATCCAATATAGGAATTTCTCTTTTTCATTATACATGTGAATTCAGTGTGTGTGTATGTGAATTTGTGTGTTTAAATATTTTAAGTCTGGCTGATAGACATAGGTTATTTGTCTTTGTTTTTTAATATTACTAAAGTAAGTATTTTTATGTTCAGGATATACATGAAGTTTATTGAAAGGGCCCTTTCAACGAAGGCCATAACTTTGAAGGGATGTACAGATTGTATCTTGACTTCCAAATCAGCCACAGTTAACTACCTTATACACACATCTGTTTCTTATCATTAAGATCTGGTTTCTTGGTCAACTGTGATCTATTTTCTTCGGAGTGTAGCCAAATAAAATAGCTTAGAAATAGATTCAAATTCAGTTAACTGTATTATGTATCTTGAATGAGCCAAACATTTAAAAATATGCTCTCATATGTACTATATTCTCTTGCTCTGGTAAAAGTATTATTGGAAAATTCTTTACTCTCCACTATGTCTTGGTTTAGATGAGTTATTATATGTTATCATCTTCCCATTTAAGTAGGGGGAAATGATCTTCTTTCCTTCTTTATCCTCTTTTTCTTTTTAAACATTGGGAAAAATCTGAAGACACTGGAATTTTGACTTCACATCATGTTTTTCAAAGAAATTATTTAATGTCAAACAGAATTTGCCTCATGTCTTTTTACTTAAAAAACTTTGAGCTTTTTCTAGGTTATATTTGTTAAATTTTCTATTTCTCAGGTTATATTTGATTTATTCTTTAATTACTTATTGTTAGTTATATTCATTCTCATTTATTCTTTTGGTTGTTTATTTTTCTCTCTTCTTGAATATCTTTAATTTTCACATGAAGCACTTAGAAAAAATAAGATAAAATAAACCACACTAATTTTAAGGTATTTCCAATGACAAGAAATTATTGAATTTTCCAGATGAGTGCTGGAAAGCATTAAAAAAAATATAGCTAAACTGTGGAACCAACCCAGATGCCCTTGAGTTGATGAATGGATAAAGAAAATGTGGTATATATACACTACAGAATATTATTTAGTATTAAAAGAGAATAAAATCATGTCAGTTGCAAGTAAATGGATGGAGTTTGAGAATATAATGATAAATGAAGTTAGTCAATCCCTCAAAACAAAATGCCAAATGTGTTCTGAGATATAAGGATGCTGATACATAATGGAGTGGATGGGATACCATGGGAGGATTAGACGAACTCTAGATAGACAAGTGGTTGGGAAGAAATGGGGCATGGAAGTATGAAAGGCAGTGGAATGAGATGGACATCATTACCCTAAGTACATGTATGAAGATACAAATGGTGTGACTCTAATTTGTATACAGAGATATGAAAAATTGTGCTCTATATGTATAATATGAATTATAATGCATTCTGCTATCATATATAGAATAAATAATAATAATAAAAATACTCAAGAGTCAGTTCAGACAGACAGACACATACAGACTCAGAAAACCACTTCCCTGGTAGAGATGCAAGGGGTGTATTTTCATAGTCACCACACTCATTCGGTTGTCAAATGATTGTCTTTAGTATAAAACATTCAGGCACTTTGAGAACTATTTGTATGATTTGGATTATTGTTATTTAGTTAAGTAACAACAAAGAATGGGGGGAGGAGAAAGTGAGAGAGAAAGAAAGAACCAGCACTGATACTCTGATCAGTTTTTTAGATTGATCACTCATAATGGAGCCAGATGGCATATATAAAAAATTCAACTCTAGGGATGGGAAGGGGAGGTAATGTATAATAAATTCTTCAAAAATCATGATGTGTGCATATATAAACACATCACAGGGAACTTCACCTTTATATGTAGGTAGAAAGAACCAATCAAATATAAACGATTAATGAGAAAAAGGAAGTCTAGCAAAGTAGAGGAAGGAATATGAGAGAGGTAAGGGAGGATTTGAAGGAAAAGGAGGAGGGATGAGTGAGGATCATAAATTGAATGCAAACTCCATGCATGCATGAGTTTGTTGGGGGTGAACCCAACTATTTTGTATAACTATAAAGCTCTAATTTAAAAATGCATGCTATAAAGTGAATGTGGATTTGATAGCCATTATTTCCAAATCCACTATGCACCACGATATTTTTGTCCTAGATATCGGTGTATGTACATTTGTTACTCATTCAGTATATTGGAGAATATTGTTAAAGATGGTAGATAACAGGAGAAATTACAGGGAAAAATATTCACAAAATTTGAAAATAAATGTTAGAATTTGACTCTAGGCAAAAAAAAAGTTTCCATTTGCTCTTGTCTCTGCAAATTATTATTATGGGCTTCTAGAAATTAAGATGATTTTCATTTCTCTAATTGCTACAGATGATGAACATTTTTCATATATTTGTTCATTTAGTGTATATTCTCTTCTGAGAAGTGTCTGTTCAGGTCCTTGGCCCATTTGTTGATTGGATTATTTGGTTTTTTGGTGTTTAGGTTTTTTGAGTTCTTTATATGTCCTAGAGATTAGTGCTCTATATGATGTGTGAGGGGTAAAAATTTGCCCCCAGGATGTAGGCTCTCTATTCACCTCAGTTTGTTTATTTTGCTGAGAAGAAACTTTTTAGTTTGATTCCATCCTATTTATTGATTCTTAGTTTTAATTCTTGCTCTATAGGAGTCTAATCCCACATGATAAAGATTAGGGCCTACTTTTTCTTCTATTAGACACAGAGTCTCTGGCTTAATTCCTAGGATATCTTCTCACTCCTGCCACAATGGCAGCTATTATGACGACAAATAATAATTGTTGGCGAGGATGTGGGGGAAAAGGTACACTCATACATTGCTGGTGGGACTGCAAATTGGTGCAGCCAATATGGAAAGCAGTATGGAGATTCCTGGGAAATCTGGGAATGGAACCACCATTTGATCCAGCTGTCCCTCTCCTTAGTCTATACTCAAAAGTCTTAAAAACAGCATATTACAGGGACACAGCCACATCATTGTTTATAGCAGCAGAATTCACCACAATAGCTAAACTGTGGAACCAACCTAGATACCCTTCAGTGGGTGAATGGATAAAAAAATATGTGGCATATATACAAAATGGAATTTTACTCAGCAATAAAATCATGGCATTTGCAGGTAAAGGGGTGGCGTTGGAGAAGATAATGCTAAGTGAAGTTAGCCAATGCCCCCCAAACAAATGGCAAATGTTTTCTCTGATATAAGGAGGCTGACACATAGTGGGGTTGGGAGGGGTAGCATGGGAGGAATAGATGAATTCTAGATAGGGCAGAGGGGTAGGAGCGAGAGAATGGGAGGCTGGGGATTATCAAGGATGGTGGAATGTGATGGACATCATTATCCAAAGTTCATGTATGAAGACATGAATCGGTGTCAACATACTTTATATACAACCAGCGATATGAATAATTGTGCTATATATGTGTAATAAGAATTACAATGTATTCTGCTGTCATTTATTTAAAAAAAGAATAAATAAATAATACAATTTGTTTACACCAAAAAAGAAAAGAAATTAACATAGATGACCAGAATTACTTATATTCATTTTAAGTGGTAATTTTCTTTTTCTTTCTTGGCTAGGTTTTTCTAGATATGACATTTGGTTCAGGAGGCCACACAAGAGCCATTCTGCAGAAGGAATCAGATATTACTCTGTATGCCTTAGACAGAGACCCAACAGCTTATGCCATAGCTGAACATCTTTCAGAATTATATCCGTAAGTAGTACTCTTGCATATTTATTTAATTATGGTATTGAGTTTTCCATAGCTTGGTTTACCATGTTGGAATTTGTACTATCTTATATGATACTATATTTTACTCCACTAATAATTCCTCATTTTCCCCCCAGAAGAATTAATATAATAATATTTTTAGTGCCACTTAAAGAATATCACCTTATCATTTTCTGAACCTTAAGAATAGATACAGGATATACAAAGAATTCAAAAACTTAACAGCAAAAAACAAATAACCCATTCCACAAATGGGCAAAGGAATTAAAAAGACAGATTTCAAAAGAAGAAATACAAGTAGACCACAATTATATGAAACAGTATTCAATACCTGTAGCAATTAGAGAAATGCAAATTAAAACTACATTGATATTTAATCTCACTCCAGTCAAAATGGCAATTATCAAAAATACAAGTAACAATAAATATTTCATATGATGTGAGGAAAAAGGTAAACTCAAACATTGCTGGTGGTATTATAAATTGGTGCAAGCAGTCTGGAAAGCAGTATGGAAATTCCTGAAAAAAGTTGGAATAGAACCACCTTATGTTTCAACTATCCTACTTCTCAGTATATATCTAAAGATTTTAAAACAGCATACTACAGTGATCTGGCCATGTCAATGTTTACAGCAAGACATTTGATAATAGCTAATCTATGTAACAAACCTAACTGCCCTTCAACAAACAAATGGGTAAAGAAAATGTGGTATGTATACACAATGCAGTATTATTTGGGTGTAAAGAAGAATGACTTTGTTACTTTTGTCAGTAATGATGGATAGAATTGGAGACTTATAATGCTAAGTGAAATAAGCCAGCCGTGAAAAGTCAGAGGACTAAAGTTTTCTTTGATATACAGAAGCTCATTCAAAATAAGGGGGTAGAAGATAAAAATGAATGGAAAAAAGATCAGTGGATTAGACAAAGAGGAATGGAAGGAAGGAGGGGTAGGTTGGATATGGAAATAAAGCGAATGAATCTGACTTAACTTTTATATGTAGATATATGAATATACTAGAGTGAATCTCACAATCATCTACATCCACAAGATATATACATATATATATATACATATATGTATGGTATGTATATGTAAATAGCAGAAAGGGTACAAGGGTAGGGAAAGTTGAAGTATTGGGTCTCAATTAGAACAAATTATATTCCATGCTTTTATAATTATCTCAAAATGAATATTACTGTTATATATAACTAAAAAGAACCAATACAAAATAAATACTGCTGAGCATGGTGGGGCATGCCTGTAAACCCAGTGGCTCAGCAGGCTAAGGCAGCAGGTTCCCAAGTTTAAAGCCAGTCTCAGCAAGTGATGCACTAAGCAACTCAGTGAGACCTCTGTCTCTAAATAAAATACAAAATAGTGCTGGGGATGTGGCTCATAGGTTGGGTGTCCATGAGTTCAATCACTGATACCCCTACATTAAATAAATAAATAAATAGATAGGTAGACAGACAAATAAATAAATAGATTCTGGTTATAAAATGGAAGATATAATCCATCCACTAATGATATTAGGACAAAAAACTCTTCATCAAAAAAAGTTTTTGTTTGGCAGGTGTGATGACATACACCAGGAAATCAAGGCCTGCCTGGGCAACATGTAAAAACCTCTTTAGAGAAAAAACAAAAAATTAAGTATTTTTACATGTTACTTCCCAAAAATTTAAAGAAATCAGCAGAGTATACTCATACAGAGCTTATATAAAGCAACATATTTGTTTTCTCTGAATTCTTTCTGAAATTCAAAGCCAAACTTAGAGTGATTTATCCTTTTGTCAGAAAAGCTATCAGTATAGAAGTTTCTAAATTGTGAATTATCTTAATGAGTAATCTGTGATGAAAAAGTTTTAATTAGGAATTAAAATCTATATGCTATATTGTATGAAAACTATATGTATGACCATGGAAAAATTTAATCAGAGACCAAAGGTAGAAAGTTGAATTTTACTCTTGTATCCCAGACACTTTTCATATCTAATGAATAAGACTATATGTCCAAATGAAATTATAAATAAAATGCATAGGCTTTTCATTGAAAAATCACAGGTTTTGTAGTTTGTCTGACATGAGTCCCTGAAACCTATCATTTGACCATAGGCTATTTCTTTTCTCCCCCAAATAATATGAGAATGTTATTTAACAACTTGGGACATTTAAAAAAAAATTTTAAGATATTTCTCAGTTTTCTGCAGTGTAATATAGATGTGTTTTCTTCAAGATCTTGTTTTACCTTTCAAGATAACTTTAACTTACAGGTTAGCAGGTGTAAATTTTTTTTTGTACCTAACAAAAACCTTCAGGCTGTACACGCCTTTTTTAATTGTGCAGATGTGGAAATTATTAGTGGCACAGATAAAATACTTTGCTAAAAAGCACACATGACTTAATGGGGACCAACTTGTAGTACATATTCTGATCTCTAGCCTAATAATCTCACTTTTTAAAAATTATACTACCTGAACTTAAATATGAAGACTTTTTTACTTCACTGAAAATATTATTCCTTTGCCAAACAAAATAAGTTAGGTAAAGGACAACAAAATAAGTAAAGAAATAAACTAGGAAGAAGGATCAGATAAAAGTTGGCACCAATAAAAATGAAAATAAAAACAACAAAAAAAGTAATGTAGAAAAATTAAGAAAATCATAAGAGATCACTCTTCAAAATTGCAAAATCCACCTTGAGCCTGATAATTTGAACAAAATATATGATTAAGAGTAAGAGAAAAGACCATCATAGCCCTTAGATAAGCTAATCATAATCAGAATTGTTGACTTATAGAACTTACATGAAAAGAATATCCTATCAAATTTAGATTATTATAACTGACTCAATTAGTATAAAACTTGAAAAAGTCATTAGTATAAAAGACCTTAGAAAGGTAAATAATGCAACCTGACCAAAGTGGCTTACAATTATCTTTTAAAAAATTAGGAGATAATAATTTTTTTCACTGGTCCTGAAAGTGGATAAATATTGAAGGTTTTTTTCCAGTTCATTTTATTTATCCAGCATAGTTTAATACCAAATTCTGATAGAAAGAGGAATCATAATGGCAATTATCAAGAATACAAGAAACAATGTGTTGGCGAAGATGTAGTGAAAAAGGTACACTCATACATTGCTACTGGGACCTCAAATTGGTACAACCATTATAGAAAGTGGTATGGAGATTCCTTAGAAAACTTTGAATGGAACCACCATTTGACCCAGTTATTCCACTCCTTGGTTTACACCCAAAGGACGTAAAATTAGCATACTACAGTGATGCAACCACATCAATGTTATAGCAGCTCAATTCACAAAAAGCTAAATTTTGATGTCCTTCAACAGATCAATGGATGAAAATGTGGTACATATACACAATGGAATATTACTCAGCCTTAAAGAAGAACAAAATTATGGCAGTTGTAGGTAAATGGATAGAGCTGGAGAATATTATGCTAAGTGAAATAAGCCAAACTCCCCAAAACAAAAGCCAAATGTTTTATCTGATAATTGGATGCTGATCCATAATGAGGTGGTAGGGTGGGGAAGAATGAAGGAACTTTTTATTGTACAGACGGAATGAGGGGAAGGGAGGGGTTGTAGGGATGGAATGAATGGTGGAATGAGATGGACATTATTATCCTATATACATGTCTGATAACACTACCAGTGTGTTCAGCCAGAAGAAAAAGTTGTGATCCATTTGTGTACAATCTGTCAAAATGCATTCTGCTGTCATGTGTAACTAATTAGAACAAATTAAGGAATAAAATTTTATAAAAGTAAAACGTTTAACCTCACTGAAGTATATAAATGAAAAAATTAAAAAGGAAATACTAGTATATCTAATTCACACATTATTTAATTAAAAATTAATACCTATAATACCTATGGCTTAATGAAGTTTATTTCAGGAAAACAGGAATGATTCCATTTCCATGTAAGGTTCTTTCTAATCAATGATAGGTTGATAATCATGATAATAATCATCTAGCTCTTTCTATTCAAAATTTCTAAGAACATAAGGAAACTATTTAAATGTAAAATATCATCTTAACTAAGAACAAACAACAATTATTTTTCTAAAACTTAAAATGCTATTAAATACTATTTAATTAAAAATTCAGGGGTAAGTAGATTTAACTTCTTTAGGTATTAGTATTCAATATTATTGGACTGTCTTACTATTGTAATTAAGAAAATATGAAATGACATAAATATTCTCTTTATTTTAATGATTTGATTGAATAGTTAAATACCCAAAAGTCTTATCAAATTAGGCCAGGCCTGGCACATGCCTGTAATCCCAGTGGCTCAGAAGGCTGAGCCAGGAGGATCACAAGTTTGAGTCCAAGCCTCAGCAACTTTGCAAGACCCTAAGCAACTTGATGAGACTCTGTCAAAATAAAAAACAAAATAGACTAGGATGTGGCTCAGTGTGAAGTGCCCCTCAGTTTAATCCCTAATACCCAAAAAAAAAAAAAGGATTCATAAAATTAGTGAGATGATATAATAAATAATATTTACTTCATTCATATGGAAATATCTAGAAAGGGAAATGGGAGAAAAATTCTCCATGTACCTAAAACTACATAAAACATAACTAATAATAGATTTAATAATAGAGGGCAGAGTTCCAAATGAAAGGAAAAGTACATAACTTAATGAAGAGCATAAAACAAGATCTCAACAAAAGTTAAGACATTTGTTTGGATGTAGAATTAATTTTATTTTAAAAAGTCAATTCTCCCAAAATTTATGTACATATGTAATGCACTTCTAGGAAACAATTTATATCATCTTATCTGACGTTTGTTTATTAAGTTTACAGGGGACGAAAGTGACAAGATGTTTATGAATTAAAAAAAAGAGAGAGGAAACTTGCCTTATCAGATGTCAGATCATTCTGTAAAATCTGTATAAAGAAATCAGTATGTTATTGGCATTAGAATAGGGAAGTAGATTAGTTAA